AATGAAATGGTGAATTCAGTTTGCCTTCCGTTTTCGAGCAAATTAAGATCAAAAATTTAACCGAAGGAAGTCGATATTTCGGGAGTATTTTGGAAGGGATAGAATGATTGCTCTTAAGGTTTGTTCTAATTTCCTCCACGCTTTATCAGGAAAATTAGTGTACCCCTCGCTAATGGATAGAGATAGGCTTTCAAAATTCGCTGAGGATTAGATCGAGCACGTATGCACATACTTCACAGTTTTCCAAGGAAAGATGGTAAGACTTGCCCTTGACCAGCGAGGAAATGAGATTAGACGGATGGTATTTCATATCATTTATGAATGTATGTCATCGTTCCAGTGCGTGACAACACTAATCTGCTGTCTACATTTAGAACGATTGCGTGCTTGTACCAATTTTGCATTCTTATAATTGTAATAATAAGAGGGAACGATATTAACCTTTGATTCTTAACATTTCAGCCATGTTGAAAGGAAATCATTTTAGTCATTAATTATATGCCACTGCCAATAGCACATGATAAATTTCGGAAAAATGTGATCTGGCGCGTTGTTGTTTGCACCACATATAAATAATCTTTTCAAGATTCGTACCGTATTTCGTGAACTTCCACCTTCAGGTCTTTCCTCCATGCCGCTTCCCATGCTTGCAGCCCATGATCGCAAAGGCTCAAATCAAGATTGTCTTCAAAAGTGGTTGCATTCAAATGGGCGGCTTTCCATCCGTGTATCATAAAATCTTCTTCGCTCCACCTAAAATCGATACAATACTTTCACTCTCTCAATGGCCAAAAATTCGTAGTAAAACGGATAGGGAATGACTACCTTGACCTGGTAACCCAAGCATCTCGTGCAAATGCTTCGAATCTGCGAAAAATGCGTACTTTCCCGGGCCACATCCTCGTCGCACCAAGTGCCTGCCTTACGCAGTAGACAGCAGCCATGTATGTTTCATAGTTTGTTGCATTTATCAAGTACTCCTCACATGCGTTATACTCAATGTCACTTTCCGGAATCAAAGTTCGAAGGAGAAGCATCTAAAATTTCATCAATTGTGCGGCTTAGAAGCAACTTAATAAAGGTGTTATGTACATGGTAAAGGAATATTTAGTTACCATATTTAGCATATCTGCTATAGGCCCTTTCATATGCCTGATAGGAAGCAGATCGAACTGGTTGTGATTCAAGACAAATGGTTAAAACAATTTTCCAGATTAAAAATTATACTAGCAAATCTACCTTAAGGTAATATCGCATAGTTCTTACCTATTTACATTTCTGATACTAAAAGCATTTACTGAGCCCTCTTTGCTTATCAGAACAGTGTTAACATCACATCATTTCCTTCCCATGTCCAATCCCATAGTTTCCTCCCGCTTCTAGTGCTGCATATTAACCTTTGCAGTTAACCACAAAAGCTGTCAGAAAATTGCGGGAAGGGAAAGGTTGTA